TTTTATTGCTGATATTCATTGTGGACAGCAAAGAAAGAATTTCATTGTACAGGGAAACATGTTTCCTACTGTCCACATGACAATAAACATTTTGAATTGAATTGAATTGAAAAATGAGGCATTTCTGAAGTCTAATGTCTGACCTGGTTAAATTTTAAACTAAAGTGTCTTTTTTAACACAAAAGTTTAGAACTAGTGTTTTAATTAAACCTCTGATTGAGCTTCAACTTTGTGAGTGCATTAAAAAAAGACTTTAGGTTCAGTCAACATGGACATACATAATCTTCAACAGTGCAGCTTCTGCAGCCAGAGTGCTCCCTGATGACGTCATGTTAGTAGTAAAACCTCAAAGTCTTTATGAATGAAGACACCTCTCGCCGGGTGCGGTGGCGCGCGCCTGTAATCCAAGTTACCGGGAGGCTGAGGCTGGAGGATCGTTTGAGCTCAGGAGCTCTGAGCTGCAGCGGACTATGTCGATCGGGTGTCCACACTAAGTTCGGTATCGATATGGTGCTCCTGGGGGAGCCCGGGACCACCAGGTCGTCTAAAGAGGGGTGCACCGGCCCAGGTCGGAAACGGAGCAGGTCAAAGGCCCCGTGCCGCTCAGTAGTGGGATCGCGCCTGTGAATAGACGTTGGAGTGCAGCCTGAGTAATACAGCGAGACCCAGTCTTTTGACACTCTGCATACTGACAAACAAACACACGGTCAACAACAACAGTGTCTACATGTTACAACAGCGTCAGCAGCACTGCTTCTGCTGCTTCTTGTTTCCATCTAAACCTGAACAAAGCTGCTGTGTTTGTTTGTCCTACAGCGCCTCCACCTGGTGGAGAGGAGCAATGACCATCAGTCAATCACACAGAACACATCCTCTAAAATAACAGAGTTTTTCATTTGATGAAAGAAGTTCATGGAGAGGTTAAAATCCACCATGAATGACCATCACACACAAGAACTTCTACTTCTACAGTAGAAGGAAACTCTTGCCACTCCACAAATGGAGGTTGATGCTCTGAGAATGACTTGAGAAATACTAAAAATAATTCAGTGGATACCTTCTTCAAGACAGGAAACAAGTTGTCTGCTTCTGTTTTTTTTATCTGGAGGTTTTAAAAAAATTAGACCTTATGAGTAAATAAACAACTCATTCTTGACTTGTCAAGAAAAAAGTTGTGGACCATCCAAAGCAAATGATATCTATATCACATTCACATCCAAAAACCTTTGGTTTCTTGAACTGGTGGTCTGACTCTTAGAACTAGAGGCAGCTCTGTCACATTTTGCCAAAGTTAGAGACCACAAAGCATAACTGAGTCCTCTCCCACCCTGAAACATTGTTCATGAGGCTGACAGCAGAGGGGAAGAAACTGTTCTTGTGGTGTGAGGTTTTGGTCTTGATGGACTGCAGCCTCTGCAGGGGAAAATGCAAGCGATGTGATGTAGTTCACTTTCATGTGTTGAAAGTAGCTCTCAGATGAAGAAAGGTTGGTATAACGTCAGAGTCAGATCGTTGCGGTTTCAAAGTGACTTTCTTTGTGACTTTATATGTGCGGGTAGGCTCTGTGAAGATAAACTGAGGTAACCAGATGTTTTAAGAACAGCCAAACCAAAATGTGACCAGGATGCTGACATCATGTAAGAATACGTAAAGGATTTGATGTATATACACCGTTCAGGTGGCGCATGCTGTAAAGCAGGACATAGTATGTTTGTTAACTTGTTTAGTGAGATCTCGGCGATCATGCATACATTTTATTTTATTTTCTCGCAAGTGGCGTGTATAGTTCCCATTATACAATCATAAGTGGCCGTGGACATTTACATCTGAAAAGCAAGGCAATAGAAATGTTCAGGTAGCTTTTCTAAGATCAACCCAGCAGTCTCCTGTCATGCGAATCAACCAGTGGCTCAATGTTTGTTTTGAAATAGATCGTCACTGTTTCAAAGTATTTATTTGTCAAAATGGGTAGTGGTGTAGAGGTCTGTTATGTTGTAGTCCGTAAGGCCGTAGCCTCGAGAAAAAACCTTTATAGGCCTATGTGCGGGTATTTGAAGATTAACCGAGGTAACCAGTTGATGTAGAAGCAGCCAAACTAAAATGTGACCAGGAGTCTGACATCATAAACAAATACGTAATGGATTTGGTAAAGTGTCACTGTTCAGGTGGCGCACGCTGTAAGGCAGGACACAGGGTGTTCATTTTGTTTTAGTGAGGTCGAATCCAGCCCGGCGCGATCGTGAACATGGATTATATTTTCTTTATTTTGTGTTTTTCTTAGGTGGCTGGGATGTAGTGCTCACTCATACAATCATATTTACCGCAGTAGATATGAGTTGCGACTTGGAATCAGTTGAATTATAACCTTAATCATTCTGGCATTCAGAGGGTCTAACCTGGATATGAGGAAGGACTTCAGGTCCCACCAGGGCCACACAGAATGACATGTGAGCCCACATGGAGTCCTGGGTGATGTGGGTTCACTCCGAGCGCTTCAGTTTCCTAAAACAGAAACAAGTCATTTGAAAAATAATCACAATAAAAAATGACAATACATTTGAAGAAAGAATCATCTCTGTTTTAATACATTTCTTCAGATTATTTCTAATATGTATTTGTGTCTCACATTTCATTTCTGTTCTGACTCTGTCCATGGTTCTGGTGTCTGCTCTCTATCACTTGCATTGTTTCTGTTTTTTATCATCACTTTATAAAGTAAACGCTGGGAAATGTCATGATATTTTATGGTCCAAACTACAAATGAATTAAAGATGATAATAAAACAGGAATGTTCATGAATTTCATTGAAGGGGACAAACAAACAAACAAACAAAAAAGCAAACAGACATGAAGACAACACCTCACACTTTGTCCATCATGACTTATTGATCAGTGTACATAAAAACAAACAATTCAGGTGGAAGCCTTTTAAAAAAGTAATAAGTAGATGGAAATTTGGTATTTTATCTGAACTGAACTGTATTTTAGTCCTTTGGTGGACTTTTCTAGTCCCAGTAACCCTTTAACCTTAATCACATGCTTTTCATGAACTTTTGAATCCAAGTGTCAGATTCTTAAATGTCAGTTTTATGGCTGTGTAATGCTGCTGACCTCTAGTGGTCAAAGACAGAACTGTCTGAGAGTCTCAATTTCTTTCTTCTTGTTTCTCCGGGGTCCTCCTCAGGTGTGGGAGGATTTCGGGGAGGCTACAGAGAAGGACTTTCAGATCACCTCAAGGAAGTTCTGGCAAACTGTTCTTCGGCTCAGGGAGGGAAAGCAGGGCTTGCCCTGGGCTGTTATCAACAGGGATGGAGGACTGCTGACCCGGACTTGGGACATCGTGGGGTGGTGGAAGGAATACTTTGAGGAACTCCTGAACCCAACCAACACATCCTCTGAAGGGGAGGCAGAGTCTGAAGATCTGGGGTGAACCTTACCACTAACCTTTGCAGAGGTCACTGAGAAAGCTCCTCAGTGGCACCAGGTGTGGGTGAGAGTTTCCCTAAGATGGTTGTGCTCTATTTATCGGGGAATCGCACTTCTCAGCCTCCTGGGGAAAGTCTAATCGAACCGTGGATATAGGAAGCCTTGAAGAAGACTTATGACCATGTTGCTTGCGGGGTCGTGTGGGGACACTGCATGAATATGAGGTCCCGGTTTGGTATTTTTCAAACTTTGGTATGACCAAAGTGAGAGCTGTGTCTGCATCCTGGACACAAAGTCAGACATGTTGCCTGTGTGTGTTGGCCTTTACCAGGGTGTCCCCTTGTCACCAATTATTTCTGTGATTTTCATGGACTGGATCACAAGTTGTAGCCGGGGGGAGGACGGTTCTCAACATATCCTCTCTTCTTTTTGCAGACGATGTGGTTGTGTTTGCTTTGTCATGCTGGGACCTCCAGAAGGCATTGGGGCAGTTTGAAGCGGCTGGGATGAGGTTCAGCACCTCAGGGTCTAAGGATGTGGTTCTCTGTTGGAAAAAGTGGATCGCTTCCTCCAGGTGGGGAGTGATTATTTGCCCCCAAGTGAAGGAGTTTAAGTGTGTCAGTGTTGTTCAAGAGTGAGGGTAAGATGGACCGTGAGATTGACAGACGGATTGACTCAGCGTATATGGGGGCGTTGTACCGAACTGACGTAGTGAAGAGGGAACTGAGACTCAAGGGAGAGCTCTCGATTTACCGATCTTCATTCCAACCCTCTGTGGTCACGCCATAGACTGTAAAAAGATGCATTATGGGTAGTCACTGAAAAAGTGGCTGCTACTCCTTCACATCTAAAGGAGACAGTTGAGGTGATTCGGGCGTCTGATTGGGTCTCCTGGACGCCTTTCTGTGGAGGTTTTTACGGGCATGCCCGACCAGGAGAACCCCCTGGGGTAGACCCAGAGTTCACTGGAGGGATATCCTTTCAGTCCTGGGAACACCTCAGAATCCTCCAGGAGGAGCTGGAAAATGTTGAAGGGGAGAAGGAAGTCTGGGTTTTGGTTTTTAATGTTACTGTATGCTTTTCTGCATCTTAACTATGTTTTTTTTTGTTGTTTTTTTAAATTTGGTAATATTTTAGCATTATTTAGGTGCATTATTTTTTTTCCTCCCTCTGTAACCCTTATTAATCTGTGTTGCTCAATTGAATTTAACTCTTACTTTTTTATATATTTAATCTCTAAAGTGTTTTCTGTTTTTATGTAGGACACAAAGGAGAGAAAGGTTTGATGAAAGGTGAGATTGATGATTTGACAGAGTTCAGTATTCAGAGTTCTTCCTCCAGGTGATATATTCAGTATGAAACACAGAGCTTTACTTCAGAAACAGAACTGAGCCTTTGACCTTTGACCTCAGAGTTCTTACTGTCCTTTAACTTTCAAATATTTGAACTGTGAGCTCAGAGTGTTGAAGTTAAAATAACAGACACTCAAACAGTTCTGTTTTTGACCACCAGAGGTCAGTAGAGCACAGATATTCAATAGTTTGATGTTATTGTTCAAGAATTGGACACTTTGATTAAGTCAAATCTTTTTATTTATTCCTTTTTACAATAGTAACAAGAAATGCAAGAGAAACTTGATGGTGAGAGAGCCGATGGAACGCTGTTGAAAGTGTTGGTGTCCAATCATCGTCTCAGAAAAACCAAACTGGACCAGATAAAAAAATAGATATAAATATCAATATAAACACATATATACATATAAACAGATATCAACAAAGTGTGTCAGGATCCAGCAGCTGGACCAGAACAGGATCCTGAACCGTCTCACCCTGAGGAGAAAAGAGATTTATTTTAAATTAAACATTTAGTAAATCTGTAAAAACAGGACAGAGTTGATCAGTCAGTCAGAGAACATTTGATCAAAGCTCTGCTGGCTCACCTTCGACTCTTTGGAGTCATCTGATATCAGACTCTCCAGGAGTTGTTCTCTAAACGTCACACCTTTCTGTACAGGAAACATTAATAAGAGAGACTTTATTAAATCATTGAACATAAAACAGATTGAGAGTAAAGAGAGTTTAAAACATACCCGGTTGGAGAGTACTGCTGCTATGACTTCTGGAATAAGACATTAGAAATAAAAATCAAATAAATGATGAGACAGACCATAATATCTATAAAATAAACATGATCATGTTTCATTGTCACAGTGGAAACCTTACCTGGAAATAGATGGCTTATTATCCACCATGCGAGATAACAAACTAAAAGTACAGAGAATAAAGACATCACAACAACAACGAAGCTAATCAGTACAGTCCTGTGTGACACTTTTCCTCCACACTGAGCGTCCTCTGTCTCAGTTCCTGCTCTCAGCAGCTCTCGACCCTCTGATTCCTCCTTCCTGGTTCCTGCAGGAAACACAAAACACATGAGACTATTTCACAGAGGTTGTTTTAGACATGAACACAGTCCCTCTATCACCGTCCACCATACGTGTTAATGAAGAGTTCTTCAGATGTCAGCTAACAGGAGGAGTTAACAAACTGGTGGAGGTTGTGTTTTCATCACGTCTTTGTACGTTCTTATTGATTCCATGACGGGGTAAGAATGGCGTCCCAGTCTGTGAGTTCACATTGAACTCAAACTGTCTGTGTGTGATGAAGTGAAATGTGTTTAACTAACCGTGTTCTCTGATGTATTCTCCTGGTTCACAGCGTCTGTGTTTCCTTGCTTCCACACAGTCGTCCTTTCTAGAGTCTGAGCAGTAAAATCCTTCCAGAGGTTCACAAACTGTGTCTGATACTATCGTACACGACGTCTTCATCTTCAGACCAGAACCTGTCGACACAAACACAGAGGTTATTTATGAACTACTGTACTTCTGCTCTACTGAAGAACAGTTTGGTGTAAGGAAATAACAAGTATTCAGACGATCATCTCTGTGTTTGAGGCTCAAACTCAAACTAACTGAAGGTTAGAAAGCTGGTTTTAGAGTGAAGACTGTTTAGTAACATGTTCTGATCTTTATTTAGTTTGATAATAATGTCAGAGATCTACCTTCATCACAGCTTTTACAGATGTAGCAGAATGGATGGGAAGTCGGATGGTCCATAAAGGTTCCTTCAGAGCAGGGCAGACAGTCAGTACTTCTGGACTCTGTGCAGTCTGCATAAACCCAACCTCCTGTTTGAAACAACAACAAGACATGGAGTTGTCTCTTATTCTTCAAGGACATAAACGTTAAAACAACATGAAACTTTGAGAGAGATAAAGAGAGAGAGAGAAAGAGAGAGAGAGAGAGAGTGTGAGAGAGAGAGGCGCTGCTTGTCAACTGGCAAGGCAGTATTCTGCTTGTTGCCCCAGACGACCAGCAGGGGGCCCTGGAGGTCTGAAAAACTTTAAAACACAGCAGAGGCTCAAAATGTGCAAAGTTTGCAACGACAGTAGTAAACCTCCCTAAGGGGGCCCCACCCGACAGAACTCAATCTTGTTGCGCTTTCAAGTGTAAATGCACCAAGTCACCAAAGGAAAATGAAGAAGAATAATCTGTCTGGGTGAGAAAAGGAGGAACAGGAAGACGGGACATAGGGACGTTGAAACTAACCTGATAAACTTTAATTAAAGATTCTTTAACATTCATGAGGATCTTACCAGCTGGACACATAGGACAGCATCTATCATTTATCTGATACTGTTTTTGAGGACATGTCAGAGTTTGACCTGTGGAGACGTTCATCAGGAGAATCTGTGAAGAGAAAGAGAAATGTTCTCACTGAAGACAAAGTGTACATGAATACAGAGAGAAATCTAAAATCATCATCCAGTCCATGAAGAGAGAAGGGGGAAAGAGTTCAAATCTTCACATCTGAAGTTTGTCTGTTTGTGTGAAGAAGAATCATTCACAACAAATATTTACACAGATAGAAATGCTGAAGAGGAGAAATCTAAAACCTGAATCAGTGCTCAGATAATTCAATAAGATCATTTACCAGAAACACTGCAGCTGATCCAGGTCTCATTCTCTCTGTAACAGAAGACCAGCACAGATTCCTCATCTGTTTGAACCAACGCAGATTTAGGACCAAGAGAAATGTAACTCCAAACCAGGACAGGTAACACACTCCCAGAGAAAAGTGTTTTCAGCTTCCTGCAGTCAGAGAGAGATCACCATCTTCATCATCATCATCATCATCTTCATGACAGACGCAGATTGTTCACCAGGTGTAAAAGGTCTCAGACATGAACAGGTGAGGGAATGAAGACTGAATGTTGAACTGTTGGTGTTTGAGAGACAACACCTCTAAACTCAATAACAATTAAAGATGTGTTGGCTGCAATGAAACATTAATTAAAGTTAATTATTAACAGGATCTTACCAGGACAACTTATCTCATACTGATATCACCACATGACAGAATTTGACCTGTGGAGACGTTCATCAGGAGAATCTGTGAAGAGAAAGAGAAATGTTCTCACTGAAGACAAAGTATAAATGAATACTACCTGATGATGATAAATCTGTTTAATATCTGACAGAAACTGTTTGAGCAGAGAGGAATACAGAGTTTGAAATAATGAATCATAAATGTACCCTGAAGTGTTTAACCTTCAACCAATCAGCCGGTCACACAGACATTATTACACGCTTTGGCCTGATCCCGGGACGCAGTCATGGTGTCATTTAACTGAAAGAATGACGATAACCAACAAGATCTTTAAAGGTTCTGACAGTGAAGTCCAAAACATGAATACAGACATAAATATATTATTATGTCACATTATGCCTTCATATTTTTATAAAACACAAGAGTTCAGAAATATTATTTAGAAAAACCTTCAGACTGTTTATCATCAGTTTATTTCTCTGTACTTTGACACACAGAGATAAGTCACAACAAGTCCATAAGCATCATGTTTTTATTATCCATCCAGACTGGAGCTTTATGGCAGTAATGTGATATTGGTGTGACTGAAGTCCACTAATCTGACAGCATGAAGACTGAGGAGGAATGAGGGAGTGTCCCTCGCAGTAAAGTCAACATTAATAAACATCTTCAGACCTTTCTCACAGCTGTCATTTTGTGTAGCAGCGAGCCTTTCAGCTACTGTTGTGACAGCTATGAGAAAGGTCTCCTAGGACCTCATGTTCAGGTTATTCTCTGTTATCAGCCTCTCATTGGCTCCTAGTTCAGAGAGTCTAACCTGATATGAGGAAGGACTTCAGGTCCCACCAGGGCCACACAGGACGACATGATGTCTGCTCTCTACCACTTGCATTGTTTCTGTTTTTTATCATCACTTTATAAAGTAAACGCTGGTGTAACCCATATGAAATATAGGGCTACTAAACCCATATATGTTGTTTAGATATGTGCAGTTGCCCATGTTCCCCAGTAGAGAGCGCTTGCTGCTGAGCAGCAGCTTCATGACCTGTCAATCACCCTGCAGACATGAGGTTCACAGCCACCAGCAGGCGGAACTTTTCCAGCTATGAATTGCCATAAAATCATTGAAAAACCTTGATTAATCCAGTCAAAATAATGTTTTGATGTTAATAAGCTCACTCTTTTAGCAGAACACAAGTTGTGAACCTGAGGAAGATAACTTTCGTCGAGTTATTATTATCTTTATGAATCTCCGGTGAGTTTGAGCCTGCAGAAACACTAAAGGACAGATAAATGTTTCACAAGGTTTGAATTTCATTGATCTGTCTTGACAGTAGATGATCTTTGGCTGTATTTTCAACACCCAGTGACCTCATCCATCCCCACCCTTAACACTCTGAATATGCTAAAACATTTTATATGAAAAAGATTATAATCCAAATCAACCCAAATCAACCACACATCTAAGAGAATTAAACTGAACAAAAGAAAACTCATCAAAAACAGGGCAAAACAGGAAAAGATAACAAATAAAAGACAAACCTGAATTGCATGTCATACAATGTCAAGATCCCACTTTCCAAGCCCTTTCACTGTCTCATGAGTCTGGATCTGCCTCTTTAAAGCAGTTTTTATTTGCCACTGTAACTTACTTTGCTTAGTGCTAATGGTGGATTCATGTTGGACCTTTGTAAATAAAAAAACAAAGTGTATGATCTGCTCTCTTTGTTAAGTCCCTTGACAAAACATTTGTCATGAATTGGCACTTCACAAAAAAGGTTGATTGATAAGAATTAACTAAATTTAGCATCGAGCGCCGTCTGCTTTTTCAGTGACGACAGTTTAAACTTTTATCTTTTGTCACTCACCTGCAATTCCTGTTTATTTCTCTCTCTTCTATTTTTATTTGGATATAATATTATCTAAGCTGCACCATTGTTAGTCAAAAAGTTTGTTTTATGTTTGTGCATGAAGACTGACCATCCAGTATCTGTTTGCAACACATCATGTTGATTTAAAATTCACCTGAGCCTGCATCTGTGACCTACCTGTTCTGACTTTTGGATAGAAATAGATTAAGGGACTATAATAACACCATGTTCTGGGAGGTGTACAGTAGTGGAGGATGTTAATGTGGTTTTTAAGCTTATTTTCTGAGTTTTTCTTTGTAGACTTGTCAAAAAAAATGTTGTGGACCACCTGAGACAAATGATATATGTACAGGCCTATCACATCCACATCCATGCATGTTGAGATCTGTTCTGTGATAATGTCTGTTGTTCATCCTCTGGATCTCTGCGCCTTTCAGTTGCAGCTTCTCCAGCATGCAGCATGATTTGTCCAGGAGCGTCTCTCTGTGGTCACTGTGGAGTACTGCAGGACAGCAACACAGACAAAGGGAGGTAATGATATGCAGCAGAACAAAATGTTATTAAAGGTTTAAAAAATGAGGCATTTCTGAAGTCTAATGTCTGATCTGGTTTAATGATACATTTTAAACTAAAGTGTCTTTTTCAACACAAAAGTTTAGAACTAGTGTTTTAATTAAACCTCTGATTGAGCTTCAACTTTGTGAGTGCATTAAAAAAAGACCTTAGGTTCAGTCAACATGGACATAAATAATCTTCAACAGTGCAGCTGCTGCAGCCAGAGTGCTCCCTGATGACGTCATGTTAGTAGTAAAACCTCAAAGTCTTTATGAATGAACACACCTCTCGCCGGGTGCGGTGGCGCGCGCCTGTAATCCAAGTTACCGGGAGGCTGAGGCTGGAGGATCGTTTGAGCTCAGGAGCTCAGGAGCTCTGAGCTGCAGCGGACTATGTCGATCGGGTGTCCACACTAAGTTCGGTATCGATATGGTGCTCCTGGGGGAGCCCGGGACCACCAGGTCGCCCAAAGAGGGGTGCACCGGCCCAGGTCGGGAACGGAGCAGGTCAAATCCCCCGTGCCGCTCAGTAGTGGGATCGCGCCTGTGAATAGACGTTGGAGTGCAGCCTGAGTAATACAGCGAGACCCAGTCTTTTGACACTCTGCATACTGACAAACAAACACACGGTCAACAACAACAGTGTCTACATGTTACAACAGCGTCAGCAGCACTGCTTCTGCTGCTTCTTGTTTCCATCTAAACCTGCGCAAAGCTGCTGTGTTTGTTTGTCCTACAGCGCCTCCACCTGGTGGAGAGGAGCAATGACCATCAGTCAATCACAGAACACATCCTCTAAAATAACAGAGTTTTTCATTTGATGAAAGAAGTTCATGGAGAGGTTAAAATCCACCATGAATGACCATCACACACAAGAACTGTATACTTCTAAAGTAGAAAGAAACTCTTGCCCTTCAGCCACTCCACAAATGGAGGTCGGTGATCCAAAAGAAGGACTTCACACCGACAAAAAATAAAATTCAGTGGATACCTTCTTCAAGACAGGAACCAAGTTGTCTACTTCTGTTTTAGTTCTCTGGAGGTCTGAACAAAAAAAGAACAAGACAGTAAATAAACAAAATGAGAATCATTCTTGACTTGTTGTTAGGTGGGGGTTGTTTCTGTATTAAATGGACAATGATGAAATCGTGAAACAGACTGTGGATCATCTTAGATTTATTCAGCCATGGTCAGACAACACAGAAACACAACACACATGGCTGACAAAGTGCAGACCATCGCTGACCCATGCTGACCAAGATCTCACAATCATTGAAAATCATTGGCAAAGTGGCAAAGTCTTCATCTTCACAATGTTGATTATATTCTGCTAGAAGGTACAGCTCACAAATTCCTGGCTGCTTCAGTTCATCTCTAAAAGGCTAGAAAGAAGACATCACCTTGACTCTTAAATATCAGACATATACATTTCTTCAGTCTCAGAGTCACATTTCCTTTTCAGCTCACAACAGACACTTGGCTCCAAACCAAATATAACTCTGCTGCTATGAGGTCTCTTACACATATGTATTACAGCTTCACAAACCTAAAAGAAGAATTACTCTTAGATGGTTGACACAATTCAAAGATATAACCACAAAATTATCAAGATGAATGAATCCATAAAAATACGTACTAAAACAAGTTGCACTTATTCATATCTGTTCCCAACAGAATTCACATTGCTGTCTTTCTCAATCATTTCATGTATTATAATCTGTTTATTATTTATCCTTCAGACGTTCCTGCTCTGTGCATGTTGAGATCTCACAGTGAAGACATCTGTTCTGTGATCATGTCTTTGAGATGAGCCCTGAATGTAGGATGGTGCTCTGTTGAACTTAACTGATCTCTGCCTCTTTTAGTTGCAGCTTCTCCAGCATGCAGCATGGTTTGTCCAGGAGCGTCTCTCTGTGGTCACTGTGGAGTACTGCAGGACAGCAACACACAGGTAAAGGGAGATAATGATATGCAGTAGTACAAAATGTTATTACAGATTTAAAAGGTACACAGAGCCCTAAGAAAGATCAACCCTCGCAAGGCAGCAGGACCAGACAACATCCCTGGGCAGGCCCTCAGAGCATGTGCTGATGAGCTGGCTGATGTTCTCACCTCCATCTTCAACCTTTCCTTCAGACAGAGCACCGTTCCCTCATGCTTCAAGACCACAACCATCGTCCCCCTTCCCAAGAAGAGCCCACCCACCTGCCTGAATGCAGGCCAATGGCACCCACCCCAATCAACACAAAGTGTTTGTAGAGAGTGGTACTAGCCCACATCCAGAGCAGCATACCGGACAACCTGGACCCCCTGCAGTATGCCTACCGGCCCAACAGATCCACCTGAGATGCAATCGCTAATGAACTCCACTATTCTCTCTCGCACCTGGAAATCAAAGACTCCTACACCAGGATACTCTGTGTTGACTACAGCTCCGCTTTCAACATGGTCATCCCCCACAAACTCACCCACAAACTGTCTACACTTGGCCT